GTGTAATATCATGAGGTTCAGCAAGGCTTTTGAAACGCGATAACATACGCCACGCAACCTCCGACCGAGTGCCCGGCTACGACCAGGGTCCGAGAAGAGAAGCCACTCTTTTGACGTGTCTCGCTGATAGATGCAGGAAGTCGGTGAAGTCGGACGGGAAGCGCAGATGTTTCTACTTCTTCTGGCATGTAGTTGATAAGAAAGTTTGCAATGTCTCTTGCATTGTCAGTCCAATCAACTGCTGTCGATTAATTTCAAGCGAAGAAATTTAAGAGGCGTTCTCTCACAGCTACCACTGAGATTCTGTCTGTTTAGCAAAGCAGAGTCACCATGCTGCACAGACTCCCATGACCATATTTCGTCTATAACACTACAGGCAGCTAGTAGATAGCATAGGGTGGTCTCCCAAGTCTAAGTATGCATGATGTAAAGTCAGATTCCTAGCATGCAGACCATAAACAGGCGTGGCGGGCTCACTTCCTTCGGAAAGCCTGCTGCGTGCACAAGGAATAAGGTTATCCCCTTCGTTCTGACTTTGGCGTCCCGGTCCTTTTTCACATACCGATTGACACAATTCCACAGTAGCCTTTCGTCCACGACTCCGGAACAGTCGTCCTCCCCTTGCCGGGCTTGTTGTTCCATGAGTTCAAGTCCCAGTTTCTTGATATCCCTCCCGGTTCTTTTCGAAGAGCGGGGGGGTGGCTCAGGGACTGGAGTATTTGGGCTAACTCTGGGATTGGCGGCAGGTATGATATGGGTGCTGATTTTGTACATGCCAAGTAAGGTATCGGCTCGGGGCTTGGAGGGAAGGGAAGGGATCTCGACGCGCCCTTCATGGTGCTTCAATGGCACCCATGGGCGCGGTTTCACGGACGTCCGGAGCGTCGTAGGAGTGTAAGGGAATGAGGAGGCCATAAATGTTGCTTGAAGCTTCAGGGTACACGAATTGAACCTGGCCGAGTGGCTTCAAAGTAGGGTACAGCCAATGTGAATTTATTCTGTGAATCTCGACCGGTTTCCACCGTACAGTGCTAACAGGACAGGATAGAAGGTGAGATTTATGTAAAGGAAGGTTGTGTTGTTTGAGATTTGTTATAAATAACGCATTCATCATGTCGCGGGCGTTGGCCATCAGTAAACTGGTGAGACTCAGATATTCCCAGCCGAAGTGGTTCTTTCCTAGATATGACGTTATAAATCACTATAAATCAAATGCTCAACGTCAACGTTCAATGTCAGGCAAGCTCGATATCGCACCCACTTCAAGCATCAGACGGGCGGGATGAAACGTCTATTGGGAATGATAGGACGGGCCACGGCACCGATCTTGACAACGATACGATCGATTCAAGACTCGAATCGTTGACATGGATAACAACGGGGGCTATCAGCAAAAAAGCCAAGGATTTTGCAGCAAGTGGAAGACATGGTCATGATCAATAGCTAAGGCAAAGGACCGTGCGAATAACTAGAAACAACACGACCATAGCAGTGAGCATCACAAAACCCGCTGCTGCTGTTTGACTGATTTGACCTGGCTAGGGAAAACTATAAAACAACATAAACTATCACACTATCACTATGCACCTACAAATGTATCAAGAGTACTTGGCACCAGCGGCCGGCCGGCGTGTCTTGAATGTTCCTTAACACCCATCATGATCACGATGGTCTTGCACATCGTAATCATATTGGGCGTTCGAACGAACTCTTGCACCCAGTGTCGTCCAAATCATGATGATTGGCCAACTTGGCATATCGTAACGTCTGCGAGGCTTCGAGGCTGGAGTTTATTGGTGATGTCTCGCATACTTGCTTCATCAGGGAATCAAAATACATACTTAGAGGTTCGTCGCATTATCTCCCTAGAGCGCCCATCTTGTTGGATAAGTTCACGACGAAGCCTCTGCGCAGCCAGATAAACCCTTATGCGATGATGTACACGCGACTTCACACTGATTGGCACATGTGGGCCTGGCATTCAATTCTCTCAAGGTCAGTGAAATCCTTACTAAACATGATTTGAATCATTCTAACCATTTACGATAAGGAGTCAGGTGGCGCGTCTGAAGCTCTACAAGCTCATGGTCTCTGCTTCCGAAGATACCCCTCATTCACACCAATCATACACTTGACAGAGTGTCCTGGTCGGTACTTAAGTAAACACTGCTTATCTGGAGGCGAGAGTGGTTTGTTATACCTTATCTCTCCTTGCTCTCATTTTTCTACTAGTCACCATATAACGCTGGTCCTCTTATCTACTCATCACGATCAGGGTGTGTCACGTCCATCATGGTCAAGTTAGAACATCGAGATTTCAGTGTAGGAGAGGACAAGGAAGAGGCACGCGATGTTTCTGTGTCTGGTCAACGCCTTCAGGAGCTGGGGTACGCGGTCGAATTCCGCCGCGAGATGTCTCTCTTTGGAGTGCTTGGGATGTCGTTCTGTGCCATAGGCATTCTGACTGGAATGAGTAGTGCGTTTCAGACAGGGTTGTTCTCCGGGGGTCCGCTTGGCCTGTTCTGGGGATGGAATGTGAGTTTTGCGCTTCGGTCTGCCTGAACACGATACAAGCTGCTGTTCTGTACAGATATGCAGTTTGTTTATGTTTCTGATCGCTTTAAGTCTCGCAGAGATTTGCAGTACATAGTGAGCAAGTCGTTATACCCTACCAAGAACCATGACTTATGTTGTCGTATAGCCCAACAATGGGAGGACTCTACTTTTGGGTTTGCAAAATGAAACCAGACATGCCTATCCTTGGCTGTAAGTTTCAACATCCACTTTTCACGCGGTGGCTCATGAATCAGTCTTCACTGGCTGGCTTTATTCCATGGCTATGGTGTTTACCGGCGCTTCCGGAAATCTGAGGTAAGTTTCGTTCGCATCATATGATCCGCGGCCTGCGAATTGTCGTCTAGTATTGCTCTATACCTTGCATCGATGGCGGAGGTTGGACAAGGAAGGACTTTGACGCGAATAGAAATCACTGCGATCGCATGGGCCATGAACATATTCTCTGGCATCATCAATACCATCGGAACGAAGGCTATAGGGCGAATGAGCGCGTTTAATGTCTGGTGGACGCTGGGTGGGACGTTTGTCCTGGTCATCACGCTACTTGTGAAAGCACCTGTGAAGGTAAAGTTCTCACAGTCTACCTGACGAACTTTCTTCACGCGAAACTTGACTATGTATGATAGAATTCTCCTGAATTCGTGTTCACGAATTTTCAAAAGTAAGCTGTTGCTTACTTTGCAAAAGGACGAAGTTAGTGACCGGCAGATTAGCTTCACAGGCTGGGAATCGAAAGGCTTCGTCGTGCTTCTTGGGTTTCTTCAGGTCAGGTTTGATTATGTACGCATGATTTGCAATGTGACTCACAGCGCTGTCGTGCTATAGGCTGTATACACGCTCGAGGGATGTGAAACAGCAGCTCAAGTAGCAGAAGAGGCTGTACGCGCAGAAATCTTGGCCCCACTCGCTGTGGTAGGCAGCATTGCAGGCTCTTGGTTAATCGGTCTCGCGTACATGCTTTCACTTCTTTTCGCAGTCCAGAACATCGCGTCCGTTAAGGCCACCACATATGCCATCCCAATATCTCAACTCTTCTATGATGCTGTTGGGCCCAAGTTGGCCCAAGTGTGTCTGGTTGTGGTGCTGCTTGCCCAAGTGATGGCTGCGATTACCAATTTCACTGCGAGCTCGAGGCTGTTCTATGCCCTCGCAAGAGATAATGCGTTCCCGTTGAAAAAGCAATTTATGGCCTTGAACCGATTCCAAGCGCCATACTGGGGTGTATGGGTCAGCGTCTTGATAGGATGCCTTATATCATGTGCTTACATCGGGTCTGCGGTTGCAGTCAGTCGACCTGTTTCTTCTGATGCCTTTGTTCTGATAAAATTTCCGCATTCACAGTTCAACGCCATCTTATCTTCAGCAGCCATATCAGTGATGTTGAGCTACATGCAACCCATCCTTATTCGTGTGTTCTGGCCTGACTCGTTCGTTATTGAAAATCATGTATCCAACCCTCGATTAACTCATGTGTTAAAATTAGCATTGACGATTTTGGACCTTTTCGCCTTGGAAAATGGTCATGGCCAGTGAACTTGGCAGGTTTTTTGGTGCGTACATTTTTTTTTCATTTTTACAGATAGCCATTGATTATCTGTGTAGTTCTGCATTTTCGTCTGCGTTTTATTCATCCTACCTACGGCTTACCCAGTAAACGTCCTCAACATGAACTACTCAATTGTTGCTGTGGGCGGTCTTTTGGTCATAATCACGATCAACTGGTTTTGGTGGGGAAAGCATAGCTTTAAAGGTCCTGTTAAAACATGGGTAACACCAAGTCCCTCACTCCATTGACTTACATACCTTTCGCACGATGTAGTTGACGCTTTTTATATTTAATTTATATACGACACATGAGAGTCAGCGCGGTAGTTGAGTACTCGAGGAACGATGAAATGATAGTAGCCCAATGTCATATATTCCAAAGAATGATACCTGATTTAGATCACAGTCGAATGTGTCCTGCAGTTGTGCCCCTACCGGGGCCCTCACGCAATGACCGCCCCTCGCGGCTGCTACTAGCTGTGCTTAACTTCTCATCGCTGGGAATTCTGGACCGGTAGTAGGACTCGGAGCGTCTGCCTCGAGTTTGCTCTTAGAGTCAGCCGTACTTTAGCCTTTGGGTCTTCAGCTGACGCCTTACTCTGCAGGTGTCGTACACTCAAAAAGTAGCCCATCATTTGACACCACCGAAGTGGAGCGTCACGCACAGGCGATCAACCTAATAAAAATAAGTCAAGTCGGATTGGAATCTTGAAGTTTCGTGGGCCCCTGAATGGCGCCTAAGTCACGTGGAGGTGGTTGAACACGCGAGGTCGGACTCAAGCAGTCGGAAGGGCAAACGCATGCACGCAGTAGCGTGCAGTCTACCTAATAGGGACTACAAATAAGGCTGGCGACACGCAACCTTGGTTTTACTGACAATGGGGTCTAGGAGGACAGTCCCCGATTTTTATCGTGGAGGCTCGCCTTCGACACCTTACTATACAGCTCATCCATCTCCGGCGGCCACTCCGGAGCCTCACTCTGATGATGAGCAGCAGCCAATAGCAGGTCCATCCAAGCTCACGCTAGACTTGCCAGTCTTCTCTCTGGACTCGAATGATGCTCTCCACCTCTCTGATGAGGAGGAAGAAGAAGAGCACTCAAATTTGCGCTTAAACATTAATTTTAATCTCTCATTGGATTTCAGTCAAGCTACGCTAGGACACTCTCGTCCGCCTTCACCAGCACCAACCGCAGACTTTAGCATGATCTCACCTCCAAGCAGTCCTTCCTATATTCAATATCATTCCCAGTTCCTTTCAGCACAGCAAGGGCGAAACACCCTTCCTTTCTTCCGGACATCTCCAACCCGCACTTCTACCCATTTACGAAGTCACAGCATAGCCTCTGGAGGCAGTACAAAACGCCGTGTACGTCCCAATATCACAAAGCTTTGGGAAAGCATCTCTTCTCCATCTCCTCGAGGCAGCAAGTCCTCGCCTATACTCAAACATCCATCGCCAATCCACAGGCACTTTCCTAGGTCATCCCCTAATATCTTGCGCGCAAAGCGCAAGACCAAACGTCCTTCAGTATCAGGCGTCTTCTATTGTGGATCCAGGGTTCAGGGTAATACCAATGGGGATGTCCACGTAGACTACGGTGCATTAGACCCACTTGACGGTGAAGAAGGTGAACTCGTAGATCACGAAGGTTATTTTGATGCAATTCAATGCGATCTCACAGGTACGGATTCTTCAGATTTTTCTAATACAGAATTAACATTTAACATCTAGCGTCCCCATCGTCATATACACGGTCCGCATCACCCTCTCCCACCACCACCACCACTCCAACCTCATCTCACCTCTGTCTCTTTCGACCTCAAACTCCCTCCCAAGCCTACACCCTCTGCCCGATATCATACGCCTCAGCTTCCACCTCCACGTTCACTTCCACGCAATACCTACCCCCTGCTATGTCATCCCTCCCCCTTCCCCCAGAACTCATCCTACACATTTTCTCCCTCCTTCCGATGCGTTCAGTCTTAGCCTGTATGCTCGTATCTCACTCTTTCTACACACTAGCCAAAGACACAAGTGTCTGGCTCGGAGTGTGGAAAGGAAGGGAAGGTCGCCCAAGAGTCCGACCCCGCGCACCTTATCAAAGCCCATACAACCATTCCTACACACACAACTTTGCGTACGGGCTCGGGTCTTCAGTGAATTACATGTCTTCTTATTCATTCCCACAAAATTCCTTGCCCAGCTCGTCGTCCTCTTCTTCTCAAGACGATTCGGATTCGGATATCTTGTCGCTGCGTTATGCCCACGCAGATGAAGGTGTATATGGATTCTCGCTTCTGGAGGACTCCGAAGATGTGGAGGGAGATGGGCCTAGTGGCTGGGCTGTAGATTGGGATCGAGTCAAGGCATTGCGGCACAGCCGACGCTCCAGGGGCATTTTTATAGACGAAGGAATTAATGCTAACCGACCATCGATTTACATCCCTTATGCGGATCCGATCTTAAGAAGAGGCACGAATTTAGGACCTCTCCGGCTTAACTGGCACACCCTCTACCGCTCTCGTGCCACGCTCGAAAGGCGATGGCGAGATCCGCGCGGTGAGCCACGGGTGATGCGGATTGAGGGGCACGGTGACAGGTGAGTTATATCTCCTCTCCTCTGCGTTTGAATTCGAGTTTGAAATTTGATGACTGATCGACCCCCATAGCGTCTACTGCCTCGACTTTGACTCGCGACGAATCATCACAGGATCTAGGGACAGGACCATCAAAGTATGGTGTATTCGCACTGGCGAGTGTCTTGCGACGTTCGAGGCTCATTTGGGGAGTGTGCTTTGTTTGAAGTTTGAAAAGGACTTTGATGCGAAGCGATCTTACTCGCGCCGGTCTTTTTCTCGCGGGCCTATTAATAGTGAGGAAGAGGAGGGTGGTGCCAACGAGGATGCGAATGAGGGGGAAGAGGAGGAATCGCACGGAATGATGGTATCCGGTTCTTCTGATTGCACAGTACGCGTCTGGGACCTATACTCAAAGCATCGTGGTTCGGGAATACGGGCTGATGTGCGTGCGATTCTGCGTGGCCATTCTGGAGGCGTGTTGGATTTGAGGATGGATGAGAATTGGATCGTTAGCTGGTAAGTTCCCCCTTCTATCCATATCTAATCCTCCCGATATCATACATCGTCATCCAAACCGACACTAACGCCTTCCCTACTCAGCTCCAAAGACGCACTGATCAACGTCTACTCCCGATCTACGCTCACTTTGCATGCTGTCCTACGAGGCCACGAAGGACCCGTGAACGCCATCGGGCTCGAAGGCGGGAGAGTAGTGAGTGCCAGTGGGGATGGTCGAATGATGTTGTGGGATGCTGCTAGTGGGAGATGTGAACGGGTGTTTGAGGGGCATGAGAGGGGGTTGGCTTGTATTGAGTTCAAGGTGTGTTTCTTATATTTTTCTTTCCCGCATCCCCGAAGTGTAGTCATCATCGGTCATCGGTCATTGGCAATCAATCAATTATACTTTTTACTGATACAACTCGTCTAGGACGACCTAATCCTGAGCGGTTCAAACGACTGCACTATCAAGCTCTGGCGCGCATCTACAGGAGAGTGTCTGCACACTTTTGCTGGTCATACGTTGTTGGTCCGCGCGTTGTGTTTTGATCCGAAGACTGGGTATGTGGTTAGTGCGAGCTATGATAGGAGCGTTAGGGTTTGGGAGTGGAGGGAACCTGCTGTGGATGTTGATTCTTTCATTTCGCACTCTTCTTCCTCGTCAAACTCTTCCTCATCGTCATTCCACTCGACACACACCAGTACTTCAACACATACCAGCAACTCAGCACACGCCAGAACCTCGATCTACGCATCCGACACAGACGGAGCAAGCGTAGTAGGCGTCGCGGACGGTGTAGTAGGGTATAGAAATTCAGGTATGAGCGAGAAGAGAGGTGTTGGGAAGTTGGTGAGAGAGTTTAGGGATTTGCATGCGAGTCATATTTTTGATGTTAAGTTTGATGTGGGGAGGATTGTTAGGTGAGTGTTTTTTTCTGTATTTTTGGGGTGTTGGGTCGGGCTTTGACAGTTGGCTGGGCTTTTGATCGTTGATGTCCTCGGTGTTTCCTTTGTTCCCGTTTCGACTCTGATTGATGAGACCTGCTGACGGTGCTTTCCTACAGCACTTCGCATGACCAGAAGATTGTTGTTTTGGATTTCACAGACGGCATCGAAGGCTCTGAAATCTTTGTGTGACATAGGGCATTGGATACCTTTCTATTCATTTTCATCTTTCACCCCATCCTGACTCAACCATATCTGGTGATAACCAGACAGTACCCGACATCGAATCTATTTATTTATCACGCATCTTATGTCTGTTTTGAGCATCCTGCATTGCGATTTGAGTTTGTTAGTCCTCTTGTATTTAGCTATACCTCTAGTGTATTTTGTACAGTATATTTGGTAAACGTATCGGCAACGCTGGCTGGCTTAAACTAATACCACGAACAAGTTGGATATGACTATGTTCTCTCTCAAAGGGCTGGCTGCAGCGGTACTGTGACGTGGTTATCTGATGACCCTAATAGAAGCCTTGAAGGAAGACAGCTGTGAACTTTTGTTCAGGCTGGACTGGTAACGGTATGTGCCGACAGTTTGGCTAGTGGTACGGTACCTCACCATGGCTAGCTACCCTAAGATTTGCTAGGAGAGACTGGACACTCCGAGAGTCGGACCACAGGCGTACGTGGCTGATGGCGTCGAGAGACAAGTCCAGACTCCACAATCCAATTGCAAGTTAAGTTCGTGGTAGTACTAAGTACCAGTTATCATGATTACCCAGACCATCGATTTGCAGATTCTCTACCGATTTCATATCAAGACGTCCGGATGTCGTGGAAGCTAGCAATTATGTAATTTGATTCCGATCCAATGGTCCGGGGTCCTGCCATCGAACGACGCGACGCGACGCGCTGCGCTGGATATGAACTTCGGAGACCTGGAACAACTCGAAGAAGTGCAAATTATGGACCGCGATGGATACCGAATCCTTGCGACCAAGGCCAGGCTAACCACGCCACAGTGACACCGACTAGGCTTCTGAACTTCGCAATGCCACCGTGGAGTCACTGTGGTAACCGTGACTGTACTGGTCCCCAAAGTTCAAACTCGAAATCAAGAACAATATCCAATCGTATCCCAACCCTTTTATTCACGTGTGAATCGAAGTGATCGCCAGGAACGACAAAGTGCCAGCACTCGTACTGACTTGCAACTGACAGCTCAAGCGCAGGGAACACACATCGGAGCTGTGGTTTGGAAATTGGCTTAGTGGGTAGCTTCACTATGTTTCGGCAGCCTACTCTTTACTAAGAATCTATGACTGTACAAGACCTACAGGCGGCCACACTATCAGTCATATGAGTACGTAATGCTCAGAAGATGCTGCTATTTTTTGATGTATATGGCCCAAGGGTGGGTGACTTCGTACAGGTAGGGTCTAGTCACTGTTTGATACAACAAATCTTAGAGAAGACAAAGATAAATTTAAATTCAGTCTGCGACCGATGACGTCCCGAGTAGTCAAGTGAGATGCGAGCTCATGTCCGTGACTAAAGGTGTGCAAGATAATCACCCGTGTCGTGAATCGAGCTAGATCACCGTCAAACCGCAGTAGGCTTCGATCTTCTGCATATGAACACTGATACGCTTGGCATGATCTACTCACTGATTTTCAGGAGGCCGATGCGGAAACTCGTTTGTCTAGGTCAATGTAAATCTATCCGCGACGGTCTCGGGATCACGAGTTACAGGTGAGATGTCGTCTCGTACAGGAACCGACAAATGCTTTTCTGGCTTATTCATCTCCACGAGCTGAGGATCAGATGCATTGTAGATTTCCTAGTCCCTATCGGGATATGTTCCTTGATCCTATAGAAGCCTCGAGCGTCTCACCAGGATAGCTGCGGCGTAGATAGTAGGATCGTAATGCAGTGTGCGATTGTGGCGTGATCACAGAACATCCGTGGACTCCTGGGCGATGGTACGACTGGAAATTGCGGCGTGAAACAGGTTGTTCCATTGATCTCGTCTGAACCACATGCCGAAGCGGTTGCTCCACTGGATACCGGGGACCCAAAATTTGGGATGGCTGGCACCCTAACACCTACCGAAGGGAGCGGCAAGGGCAAGGGCGTAGGTGCTAGCACAGAGACAATAATAGGAATGAGATGTCAAAATGCGCAATAAGTACCATCAGCATAATTCAGCAAGGCGTAACGTGCGCGAAACTAACATTCAAAGACGCTCGGGGTCAACGGAAATGTAGAACGAGCGTTGAACACGGACATGGTGATTCGTGAAACGTTTTCGGGGTGTAAAAGTTGACACCTCGGGTCCATCCCTGACCGTACTATACCAAATAATGTGCCTGTGTCGGGTGTCATTGGTGCTCCACAGCTCCTTGACATAAGCGTCAGATCCGAGAGATACATCCGGCTCGTTTCATATCTGGTCAGAACTTCACGGGGATGGCAGTGCTGCATCATGAATACTGCGAAAGGGCCAAAATCGGAACCTCCCCCTTAGTCGGAAAGAAAGGATATACAGGTTGTAAGCGTCGCTAACGGAACACCAGCCCATGTTCGTAGGCCTGTGGCGTTGCAACAATTGCTGCTTGACCAACGAGCGTTAAAGCGATCCAGTAGTACCAGGTGACCGTAAAATTAGCACCTTTGACATGTCCACGTGGGCCATGATAAAAATACGGTACAAATATTTACCCGCTTATTCCAGTGGTGTCCCAGACTCCCAGTCACAGCTGACTCCTGGATTCAAGCTTCCAGCTTGAAGCCTTGGAGGTGATGCTAACGTTGACCAAAAGGAGACTTGGGGTTGACCAGAAGTTCATTTGTACGTGATGAAGTAGTGACTCACTTGGCACTGAACCCACAACAGGCCCACAAAGTACCATGTAAACTGGTGGAAAAATGTGCTTCGGTGTCCTTTCAATATTCGCACATTTCATTGGGCGATGCTAGTTAATCAAATCATAAGTACACTCAGGCTGGACGACTCAAAACCGGGCATTTGAGTTATCGGATAGCGTCGCAACGCCACCGTGCCAATGGAAGAGCCGCGCACTTATCTTCAAGTCGTTTCAAACATAACAGCATGCATTAGGTACTGACAAAACAAGAAGTCTCGCCACGTATCCATCACGGCATGCAGTGTTTTTCCGACAGTAATCGTGATCAGATCAGGGTATACGAATGCATATGTATTCTTTAATATGCTCCTCCTGTGACTCACCTGGGCTTTTCTGGCGTGATCTGGCGTCCCGTCGGCCAAATCACATGGACAGGTCATTATGTCAGAACATTTCTGGCGTGTGCAATTGCGCAGACGAATAGAACAATCGAGATCTTGTAGTGATCTAGAACGACGAATCAATAATAAGTATAGCGGTGTAATACAGAGCTCAAAATACAATTAGCGACACAGTTGGCCAGAAAGTGATGTGAAAATGAGATGGTATAGAATGTCCGAGAGAAGAAAAATATGCTGACCACCCTCCCAACTAGGAAGGGATGGTTATAATATGCACGAAATCAGGATGGGCAAAAGTTGCTGAAAAATGCAAAGTCGCACTGTCGGCAATTCTTTGAACGCCGATAAGCGACCTGCCATCTCAGAGTCGTAGGGGCAATGCTAGGGCCTGAGATATCAAAGGTGCGCTGTGACCAGATGAATTTACTATGTGATGCAAACGCTTGCGTGGCGGCACGTTTGAATCCTGAAAGTCTGTTGTCTTCTCAGGACCAGGTTCCTAACCAAAAGGTCTTCGCCACATACTATGTACGTCAACTTGGCCACCCTCCTCCCAACTCCGCGAGTGCTTGCGCTCTGGCCTGTAGGATGGATCTCTTGATGATCGCATCTGCCCGGTAAACTCAGTGTGGAAAGGAAATTCCAGGAAAACATTCTGACCTCTGATTGTGGGATTGCTTCGAGTGCCCCGGTGAATGACCCTGTCATATCTGGTTGACGCCAGTCGACTCTGGGACTATTTTGTGATGGTACCATGTCAGCAGAGGGTCTCCGGTCGACAAGATGGTGTGATGAATATGGGTGCTGCAATGGAATGAGCGGTGTGTCTCGGGAAATGTGGGTTCCAAACGCACGTCTTGTTGACTAGAAGTATCGTCGTGAGGTAGCGATGATTGCCGCGAGTAATCTTGAAGAGGGAGTAAGATTGCAGTACGCAAAACTAAATGCTCCAAATAAGCTCCTACCTGCTGAGCTCTGAGTTCTAGAGAGAAGAGCTGTCACTAGCAAAAGTTTCGTTAGGCGGGATCGTGATGCTAGCGCAGCACAAAACACCCACTGAGTTCGTCACGATGCTGTTCGGCGGCGCTGACATCCCGCCTAGCACGGGCTTCCGCATCCAGACAAACAGTATATCGTTGAAACGCATCTTGTGTTTGCGACTGCGTACGTGCGAGCGTTGCCCGTGCTTCTTGAAGATATTGGCCTTATGATGAAATTCAACCTGAAAACATGGGGAGAGCTGAGTAATCGGACAAACCAGATGACTGCGCGTCTTGTAAGAGTTGCTCGTATGTTGCTGTTGAAGGCGAGGAGGATGTTCGAATGACATGTGCCCGAGATGTGCCCGGTGAGTGCACATAATTTGGACTTGAAACATTTGAACTACTTTCTGTATATGGGGAGTCAATATGACTGCGTGAAAGTACTTGAGAGCGAACATGAAGGCTGACCTGGCTGCAATCGAGCGATATGATCCACTAAACTGGAAGGCGGATAACTCCCTTCAGATAATTCAGGTGTTGAGACCTCCATGGAGTCGTCGATGGGCGGAAGCTGGGGAGCATTTGGGCCAAGATGTCGCAAGCGGGGATTGTGGGGGATGCCTGCGTTGTGTCGCTCAATAAATTTCCTTAGAAAGGCGAGCTCAATATCATCGGGCATCACGTATGGGGGGCCCTGAATGTCGCCTTTCTGCATAAGGACCTCTAAATGTGACATTGTCTTATCCTTGAGTTGTTGCAACCACTCATGCAATTCCATGTGATCTTGATCTGCGCGAGCGTCACTGCCGTCAAGAGTGCTATGTCAACAATAAAGCATGTCTGTAAATAATCATCGACAAACTAGTCTTGACGTCTTCTTGCTTTTCTCCAGTAGGTTTTTGTCAATTTCAGGGCGCGGTTGACTTCATTGTCGAGAGTCCGATACCAATCGCTTGAACGTCGGTTTAGTTTCACAGCCAGCACGCCGGGTTGAACTCGTAGCTGGAGCACACAGCGACCGTCGGCATCAGGAGGGCCCAAGGCACCTTTTTGACCTTGATTGCCTCTGGTGGCGCCACGGGAGACGTTGCCAAGTTCTGGCCATGGTAGGTCGTCGGATTGCATGATCACTAAATGATTGATACTCCGTCAACGGAGTGGCGAAGTTGAGGGTGTTGCAAGAGTGGAGATAAAAACTCGTCCAAGATAATCGTGCGGCAGCCTTATAATTGCAGGTGTCCTTTCTATGCAACGTAGCGATGCGGCTTTCACCATACGCACTGCCTCGGTTATTCCAATCAGTGTTTGCTGGGTGACATGTCAACATACTCATGTCAGCAGGGGTGACATCTGGCACATCTAAGTAGATTTAAGTTCAAACGTTCAAGCCAGGTCACCTCGCTGACGGATATTCGGACTGCTCTCACGTTTATATATCATCGCGACGCTGGCCGGTGGCCTGATATAGTAGGTATGGTTGTGATGAGAGAAGAAACGGCAGCTATGATTACAAGAATAACGATGAAGGCGACGACAGAAAGAGTGTCATTGGGTACCATAACCCATACTTGGCTGACCCCTGCAATCACCCTAAATCCCACTTGGCGGTGCCACGACAGCCGCGAGATAACTCATCGTCCAATCGAGTATTGAGGTCTTGATCGACTTTCAAATTACAATCCTGATCATGTGGAGAAGTCCACTCCTTGTGCCAGAGGTGCAGCATCGGAAAAGTTCACCGTACATGCACTCCAGCGAACGTATTGCTTCCAGGCGTCTCCACCGGATTCGCGGCCCCTGAAATAAAGAAGTCAGAAGAGAAGCAGATCCGCCTGGAGATATTCTGACCATCCGGTGCTCTATAGGTGAGAAAGCGCGCAATTAGGCTGGGAAGGTCGATCATTCAGAACAGAAGCTGTGACAGACCTTATTGCCTCCAAATGCGGCACCTATTTCGGCGCCGCTAGTCCCAACGTTGACCTCAAGTGTTTCATTAGCATCAGGTCTGTATGTCTCAAGGCTAAATGCACATACATTCACAATGCCGGCATCTGAACCTTCGGGGCCAATCCACTTGCCAAGGTTCCGAATGTCTCTGGTCCAGAGGCTGCTGGACAGTCCTTGGGGAACAGCATTGTTCCATTCAATAGCCTGCTCCAACTCATCGAACAGGTCGACGTTCAGGATAGGTGCGAACGTTTCAGTACTCCATATCTTATCAGCAGGGTCCGCGGTCTTTGGAACTGAGATCGTGGGTTGGACAAAATTACCCTGGCTCAATGCCGCATGGTCATATGTCTTTCCACCAGTAAGAATTTCAGCTCCGGATTGGCGGAGCCGCTGCACAGCATCACTGTAAATTCCAACAGCTGCACGTGTATGCAACGGTCCGAGCAAAGTGCCATCCACTAGGGGGTCTCCGACGTTTATAGTAGCGTATAATTTCTGAAGTGCGTCCAGGAATTTCGGCGCAATTGCACGGTGGAGATAAAGTCGCCTGGTAGATGTGCACCGTTGGCCAGCAGTGCCAATAGCGCCAAAAAAGACAGCTGGTACAGCTAACTGCATGTCTGCGTCTGGCATGATAATTGACGCTGATGGGACGTTATTAGAGGCCATCCTCATGTTTCTTCGGAGTAATAAAAGTACCGTTGTTCCCGCCCAACTCCAATATGCTCTTGCCGAATCTAGACTGGACAGCCTTACCAACCACCCTACCTACGGCCTCACTACCTGTAAATGAAACTAGAATATTTTTATTTAACAAACGCCCTACGCCACTTGAAAACAAAGCCTTACCAAGGGGTATATCCCGACTTTCAACGATAGCTTCTCCAACATCCTTTCCGCCGGTGATGAGGGTAGACACGGCACCAGGAAGGCCATTCTTCTCCAACACACGCGCAATGATCTTTGTTATGGCAATGGAACAAAGTGGTGTGCTCGGCGAAGGTTTCCAGACGTTCGCATTCCCGGCGGCGACCGAAAGCGCAAAATTCCTACATTCAATTACTTAGTCGGGTCTCCCTACAGCCATAGGAAGTCGCACCATCCGTATACCGCAACCGGAAAGTTGAAAGCAGTAAGCACGCCAACGACACCAATGGGGTTGGGTACTGACAAAATAGTGCATCAGCATAGCATGTCAAAAGTTGGATTAATTGCGCAGTTTACCTTCCAGGATAGTGTGACCAGGCCTTTCAGATGCCACAACTCTGCCGTTCATCATTCGAGATAAGCCCACCGCATAATCGCACTCAAGAGATCAAGGATTTCAAGATCAGCATCGGAAGAAGCAAAAGGATCCGCACAATATCCACGAATTCCTGAACTTCCCCAATACCTTCTGTTTTGATTTTCCCCATTTCGAGGGTGACCAGTGCCCCAAGAACGTCACGCTAAACAAACAATAAGACTACCTTTGGAGGTGCCATATTTGGTGGAAAAAGGGACTCTGTACCTTCTCGGAGAGTGCTTCTCTGATCTGTCGTAAAAGCTCGCCTCGCTTGGGAGCAGGAACCGTCCTGAGATGAAGATAAGCTTCCTTAGACTTTCCCAGTGCTTCGTGCAGCTCATCCGGTGTCGCCTGTGAGATTTTATATTACATCCCGGACAAAGTACGCAGCAAGCCTACTATGCACTTACCGAACGGACCCGCGCAAGTACCTCCCCTGTGGCGGGACACACGCTTTCCAGCACCTCCCCAGAGCCAGACCATTGTCCGTCATAAACCCCTGGGAGTTCCGCAGCACCAACAGGGATGTCAAGTGAAGAAAGAATAGCCGATGCGCGTGTTGACAAGCTCCGTGCGCCACGAAGAGTACCGCAGACTGGGTGACGCAACAGTATCATACCGCTAAATCTGAAGATGTAAGTAAAAATGTTACGTATGAATGCTGCAGTCCACGGTCAAGCAGATCGCGACTCTGGTTGGTGAGAACGTTTGGTTCGAGTTGTAAAATTTCTAAATTTTCGACACCACTGAATCACGTGGTTCTGTGAGGTTCCAGCACCCGTGACGCTCTGCAGGAGCTGAAGTTGAGCGCTGAAGCGTGCATACGAGATACGCAATGTGAGCTAACCATGAATGAGATAGCATAATTACATATCACATAACAAGTATCTAAGCGCTGAGCTTTCGCAGATCTATCTCTCCATTAATAGACTAAGGACAACCGCGTTCTCGGACCAAAACCAAAGCCCACGGATCTCATTGAGATGATGCAATATGTAGCAACCAAAACACTGACAGGGATGGATAATCGTGGATGCACTGATCTCACAGCATACCCTTCGGACCCTCCCGACGGGTTAACCATAATGGACCTCCGGTCCCTGAACGGCTGTAAGTGCTACCCGTATCAAGAGGCAAGGCGATGAGATGCACCTATGGGGGTTAGATTAGCGTCGAGGGCGGCGATGCTGTTAATGTATGTATAGTATGCCTCACATCGGTGCCAAGATCATAGGCCCTGGAAGAAGGAAGGGTCTGCATCAATCTGGTTCCGTGCCTTTTTGCTCCTCACTGCCAACGCATTTTTGCTGCTTTTCGATTTTCTTTTCTTTTCCCTCGGGGAGTGAGAGTCTTGTACATCCTCGTCACTGTCAGACGCCTCGATGACTGCTGCGGTGCCCTCGGGATGTGCTTGGGTTTCGACAACAGCTCCGTCGGGTTCCTGGGGGTCTATATCCGAGGCTTGTACAATTTCAGATTCGTCAACTGCCTCTTCACCCTCTTCGTCCTCAAAAATGGCCCTGAGATCTGTCATCTTGAGCGTGTCATCGTGACCTGCACTACCGACCCATCTTCCCTCCCCACCGAGATCGACTGCAATTCTTTCGATGGGAAAAGACCCGTGGTCAGCAACAACGCCAAGGAGCTTGGTGGGAAATAGCTGCACGGCCCGCAGAAGACCATCAGACGATCCCGTGAGGATGGTGGAGTGAGAAGACGGGTATGACGACGGCAGAGTACAAAGGGCATCAATCGACTGGGGGTGCCTGCAGCGACGATGAGGAACATTCAGGCAAGCATCCAGAAACAGAAGAACTTTACCCAGGAACTCTGTCGACACAGTCTCCCCATCCACGACTACGATTGAACACGGATAAAATCCCCGTCTGCGTGCCGACTACTACTTTGGATCCGCTATTAGCCCGGCATTTCGCATGCACACAATGAGCACATTTAAATACATATGTAGGCGGAAGTACCTTCGAATAGCAACAATAGAGAGTAGCTCATCCTCCTGATCCTCGGACTGTGCCACCGGTTCTGGCTTCTTTCCACGCACATCAATCACTGATAATGTGCCATCGCCGCTTGATTATCGCAGAGTAAAAAAAATATAAGTGTTGGAATGCGGGGGATACTGTTGCTATGGGTGCTTGCTTACCTGGTTGTGATAAGTTGCTTTTTGTCGTCTAACCAAAGGAAATCAGAGATGAAGTCATAATGATGGGTATAACCTCGAATGGGATTAGACTTTCGAGGGTCCCACAGCTATCCACAGCTTATACGTAAGAAGTTGATCGTAACACACGTCAAACGGAATCGGCTGACCTTGATTACTCCGTCGTCATCACCAGTGCCCAGCATCTGGGGCATGAGGCGTTTGATGCGATTCACTGGGGAACTTTAATTGGCACTGCCATCAGCTGCCTCAACGAAGCATGAAGTCACATCAAGGAATTACTAACTCACTCATGGGCATTTTTGCGAGTCTCAATGATTGTCCCAGTGGCTGTATCAATTGTGCTATATGTCTTTAGTACTATGGACAACCATGGCCCAAATATCAAAACACAACATACAAAATAGCTTTTGCCTTCCCAGTCGCCCATAGATGAGACCCATCCTCGCTAGTATCCAAGCAACGGCAAGAACGCTTGGAAGGTCTTAACACGAAGCTTTCTTCATGTTGTCCTTGTTCATCATACCGAAAGGCCTTGACCTTTCCGTTAAGAAGGCCAGTATATACAGTCGAGTGCGTGGGGTGAAATACAAGGTCAAAAATCTGGGATCCGACTGGAATGTCCGGCATGAAAGCAACGTGCACGAGTCTCAGCTAGACTTTAGACGAACAGGTACTAACTTGAAGCTGCAAAGCCAGGCTCACACTAAGTTTGGCACGTGACCTCATCATAGGACCAACATTCAAGGTCAGCGCTGGTCTCCGATGATGTCGGAATGGTCTTGCAGTCCAGCCGGTAGTGTAGGTGTCGGGGCAAATGCGCCTGCACAGCGTCCTAAACGCCGTTTGCATCTGTGTCGGTCAATGGGGGAGAGAAAATCCCTTGTAACCCATGGCCTCCGTATCTCTATTCTCAACGTTAATTGTTTTGCTCGCAGCTGTATGTCTTGCTCAGACAGTCACACTACATGCTGGTTTCAACAACGCCCTCTCTAACGGTGCCAACACTCAAGCGCTCAGCGCTCAATATTCAAGCAGGTCATCATTGACGGAGGACAAAGAGGATGTAACCCTGCTCGATATCGTTCTCGTTGCATCTGTAGATGGTCGATTCCATGCACTCAACCGTACTTCTGGACAGAAACTCTGGTCCATGTCGCATTCTGCGCACGAGGCCCCGTCCAGTCTTGCACCGCTTGTTCGTACCAAACATGCCACCTATGACTCCGACTTGACGGACGATGATGACGCCCATCATGAAGTGTACATGATCGAACCACAGTCGGGCGACATATATGTGATGGCTACCCCCAGTAGTAAACTCCAGCGCCTCTCTTTTTCCATGGCACAGCTGGTCGAGATGTCGCCCTTTAAATTTGCGCGGGATGACGACGAGCGGGTCTTTGTAGGAAAGAAAGAGACATCCCTATTGTCAATAGAACTGGAAACCGGGAAAGTCAAGGCCATTAACGCTGAGTGCCCTTGGGACCCGTTTGAAAATTTCAGCCACAAAGAGGAGCTTGACTTAGACGAACTTGAAGATTATATGCCAAACAAAGAGAGGTTCATTCCGACGGAGGTTTTCATTGGACGTACCGGTAGGTGTCTATTGCTTTCACAGTCATTACAGCTAAACAAGACTTCCTTGCAAGACTACCAGATATCCATCTTCACCCGCTCAAATACCCCTAATGGTCGGAAGGTTCCTATACAGAATTTGTCTTTCTCCATATATGGTCCCAATAACCAGGACAATGTCTTGCAAGCGGCGTACCGGAAGACGCAAGACAGCACATACATCGACTCCCTACCCACTGGCACAGTCGTTTCACTCAAAGCGCAGGAAAATGACTCCGCAGGTCCGTACTCTCTGCAGAAAGCGCAGTTCATGTGGACAAACCACTTTGATAGTCCAATGTAAGGAATGTCGTGTGCATTTCCAGAATATTTCTAATATTTTATATAGAGTGGCTGTATTTGATGTTTTGTCAAGCGCTCAGAAACCAGATCCGTTCGTCCTCTTGCAACCTCGTGCCGACTTCTTGCGCGGATCGGATGTCTCCTCCCTTGACATCAATACAGCTTATGTCGGACTTGTCGAAGAGACAAAGTCTCTCTACGTAATGGGTGTGGACCATTTTCCACTAACTGCATTCGGTGACACCGAATTCAATCACAAACTCATTGAGTCTGTCGACGGTATCACCCGGCGGCGCAAGATGGTGGAGCTATGCGAACGTGATCCAGGCAACGCTCAATGCCTCACGGGTAAACGTCACCTCGATTCGTCTTTGAATAACAAACAACTCCCAGGTGTTCCTGGTGCAATGCTACCTCCTAGCGACAATTCGGATCCACCAATCGATGCAGCAGAAGCTATACCCACCCTGTCAGATCCCAGGGACAACACATCCGTGCCAGGCTGGATGCCATGGTCAGGCACTAGTTCTGGTGCACATATGAAGGTACTCGGCCCAGCATCCCCTATTTCCACCATTGGCTCCATAATTCTAGCCGCCGTCTTTGCGGCCGGGTTTATATTCCGATCCAAGCTTCCCCGCGTGAGGCTTCAGATGGCGCCCGCCACAGTGTCTGTACCAAGTTCCATTGATGAAAAGCCGGATGAAGATACGACAACACTGCCTCCTCGTCCAGATACCCCTGTCGTACATGCAATGGAGATATCCCGGGTCCCCTCCAAACCCACGCCGGTTGCCATCAACTCACCAGACGACACCCCTTCTCACGTACTGCAGCCTCTCGATCACTTCCCGGAGCATGAACAACTTGATACCCCCAGCACGACAGCACTAGATCTTGGAGAGGCAGAGGATAGTGACAGGGAGAATGCCACGCCGAAGAAACGTCCTCGGCGTGGGCGCAGAGGCAAGAAAGGAAAGGGCACGGGGACAGCCGTTAATGGCATGGGGGGTGATCAGGATGACAAGGATGCAAACGGCCCTGTTCCTGAGACGGTGGTCAAAGACAACCCGAATACCCCTTCTCTCACACTCGTGGTACCTCAGACGCCGCCGGCCGCTACATCTTCCCTGGTCGTGTCTGATACTATACTAGGTGAGGATTGATAATAAAACCTGTCTTAATTGTTAACATGTTCGAAAGGCTTTGGATCTCACGGAACGGTTGTATACCAAGGCTCCCTCCAGGGGCGTGCAGTAGCTGTTAAGCGCCTCCTGCAAGACTTTGTCACTCTCGCCTCCCGCGAGGTTGATATTCTTCAAGAATCGGACGACCACCCGAATGTCATCCGATACTACTATCAAGAAGCCCACGCTAATTTCCTCTACATTGCTCTTGAGCTTTGTCCCGCGTCCCTCGCAGACGTCATTGAGAGTCCCGACCAATTTCGCGAGATATCCAACTCATTTGATCCAAAGCGTGCCCTCCGCCAGATAACATCCGGACTCCGACACCTGCACTCACTTAAGATCGTTCACCGTGACATCAAACCCCAAAACATTCTCATATCTGCACAAAAGAAGGGTGCATCAGGCAGGGATGGTGGGCGGAGGATGCTCATTTCCGATTTCGGCCTATGTAAGAAGCTCGAAATGGACCAAACGAGTTTTCTACCGACAGCACACGGTGCCATGGCTGCGGGCACTGTCGGATGGAGAGCGCCTGAAATTCTCAGGGGGGAAGTGAAGCTTGACGACTCGATAAGTGATGACCATTCGCAATCATCACGAGGCAGCGTCAGTACTGCAGTGAATGGGTCAACATCAGGCAAGCCAACGAGACTGACTAAATCTGTTGATATTTTTGCGCTGGGATGTCTATTTTACTACGTCCTCACTAACGGGTTGCACCCATTCGGGGATCGGTTCGAGCGGGAGGTCAACATTCTAAAAAATACCAAATCCTTAGATGGCCTGAAGCAGTTTGGAGAAGAGGGCTTGGAGGCGGTAGATTTAATCACCAACATGCTAGATCCTGGAGCCTGCAAAAGGTATGTTTCTCGTACATGTTCTGTTTCTGGTTTTGTAATTCACGTGTACAGGCCCGACACCACGTCATGTCTTGTACATCCATTTTTCTGGGACCCAGGGCGTCGCTTGAACTTCTTGCAAGACGCATCAGACCGCTTCGAGATCATGTGCCGAGATCCCCGTGACCAAAACTTGATTATTCTCGAAACCGGCGCTTTCGATGTCCTCGGTCAAGACTGGCATGCACGGTTGGATAAGGTTTTCATCGAGAACCTGGGCAAGTACCGGAAGTATGACGGCAAGTCTGTACAAGATTTACTAAGGGCTCTGCGAAATAAAGTGAGTCAAACTGTGTACAAAAATCTTTGTTGCCAGAAGCTGACGTGCACTTGAAGAAACACCATTATCAAGATCTCCCAGATCATGTAAAACGGCATCTAGGTCCCATGCCGGAAGGCTTCCTATCCTACTTCACCCGCCGTTTTCCCCGCCTCTTCATGCATGTGCACGGCGTCATATCCAACACACCACTATGCCACGAGTCCATGTTCAGGACATATTTCGAACTGGTCGACTAATATGCTATCTATAGTTATCCGTCTGGAAGCCGACGATGTTGCCTGTCTTTGCATTTGGTTTCGCATATTTATTTGAACATCATATCCACATCATGTATCTGTACTTGTAACTGTTGCTTGACATACATTGTCCTGTGTAATGAGAATCTTAATCCTGACTAGGCAATCCTTCCATGTGTTTGACGACACGCGTTACATGATAGTGCAACCCCAGCTCGACGATCGTTCCTCTTGCTGCGCTTGGGCCCTCGCTCTCTCCCTTTGACGCATTTGTTGGTACTGAGTCTCATGGTCTTGCCAAGTAGCACGTCGTCTCGCTTCGTCTCGCCTCACGTCTTCTAGTCTCGCCTGCTCACGCCTTACTGCTTCTAGTCTCGCCTGCTCGCCTCTGATTGCTTCTCGTCTCGCTATCGCTGCCCGTCTTTCTGCCTCTTCTCTAATCGCGGCATCGGCCTCCCTCCGTTGCCGCTCTTCGAATCGCGCCTGCTCGACCCGCCAATCACGCAGTTCTTCCTGCTGCTGACGTTGCTGCGCTGCCAATCCGAACAGCCACTGCTGTTCCTGTACATTGACAGCCTCGTTGACTGGATTCTCATCGTAGATCGTGCCATGATCCCTGTTCATGTGCGGATAGATGGTGCTAGCAGAAAAGACGCCCATGCATCGCCAACAAATATGGCTGTCGCACCTGTACCCGAGCGAATCAATGAAATGCAGACAGAAGGGGAGCGCGTCCAGAATAACTTACAGTGTGCAAGTCATATGATTGCAGCCATCCACTTTCTCGATAAGTGCTTGACAAGTCGGGCATTTCTTCACGCGCCCGCCATGAGCTGCCAGCCATGCTTCCGTCTCTCGCTCCTCAGCAACGCGTCCGGCCTGCCGCTTGTTTTCGACACAGTCCATGCCGTCATGGGCGTCATCATGGCACGATGTACATATATTTGAGAAACATGAAGGGCACTGGCCTGCGACCGCAGTGCTGGGGTCGGTGGAGCGGTAGATCTGATTGCAATCTGGTGTCTTGCAATACTTGAATTCCTGTGGATGCCGAGATATATACCCGTGAAATGCTATTTCCAGCAAGCGGTTGAAGGAAGTTTGAGGGAGGAATTGTTGGATAGTGGGAATAGGAATGGGGACTTTACACTGGGTCTCATCACCCATGCACGTGAGCGGAAACTGACCAGATTCCAAAGCGGATGTCAAGAAATGACGCATGCAAGGAGAACAGTAGACGTGCCCACAACCAAGAGGAAGTGGGGATGATACGGTGTCATAGCAGATCGGGCAAGACTGCTGTCCTGACGGGTCTGGGACGATCTGTGGCCCACTGAGCGAGCCTTGGATCAAGCGCTCGAGAGCGTGCCGTGCTTCCTCACCACCAGAGATTGTGATTCTCCGTGCAGATATGACGAATTTGACGTTGTCTTCGCCAAAAGTTTCCCTCAACTCTGGTATTCCACGTGCGATGAAAAATCGAACGGACTGCTTCGCGAGTATTTTGGTATACTCGAGGGACGAGAGCTGCTCCAGCTTGTCCTTGATCAACTCACGAGCCTGTTCAACAGCTTTTGACTCTCCATAAACTTTCAAAACCTGTCTTCTGCAATCCGCACGTACGAGTGCCCCTGTGTCGTCAAAAACCGAACGCAAAAATTTGTTGTTTGGATATCCGAGTGTCATGTGCCACCCTTCCACCTTCTCACCTGCGATCAGGTTTTCCGCTCTAACTTTGAGTGCGCCAATGGCTTCTTTCTTGGAGCCAGACAAACGCATCCGGACAACGGCGCTCTGCTCATGAATATGCAGCATGCATGCACGCTTGTCTTTGATGCCGCCGATCAAAGCATCCCACAAAGGCTTTTGTGCGCGAAATTGCTCAGTAGAAATAGTGATCGAGTACTGTGTGGGATTCGGGAGTCGGAACCAGAAGGACACGTTTCCGATGCGATGGTTAATAAGACGGGTATGCACTGCGTCCGCGTCCTCCCAAGAAGAAAACCGCGCACGAACCATAACGGTACCATCAATGCTTGGAGTCGGTAGTAAAGGCTCCAGCGACTTTAGGGTTCCAGGAGAGATGCATCCGATATCTTCCCGTAATGTGGCAGTGATATGGCCAACGTCTTCGCTGAAAACTCCACCTCGCTTCACTGTCAACCGCCTGACACCATCTGAGCCAGAGAATGTTTTGACTTCTTCGTCAGAGATAGTTGGGGGAAGGAAACTAATCTTGATTGAGTTGTGGTGGAATGCTGGTACGAAGCGACCAGGTGGCATGGTGTTGATCTCGACTTTGACCCGGCGCCCAGAGCACATCTGGCGGTTAAGTTCTTGCGCTTTTGCAGTAGCATTTACCGTATCAGGGTACTCTGCGACATAGCGCACAGATGGGGCACGCCAGGATATCGTAAGGACATTACTGTCACGTTCAGTCGCTGCGGACATACTTCCGGGACTGTTGTAGCCTGATACTTCGAGAGTCAGAACCTCGTCCCTAAACTCGAGGCCACTGAGGTCAAGCGAGAGTGCTTTCCCAGACTCAGCGTCCGTGATGATTTCAGCACTAAGCTTGCCACCACCTGGCATGGGCTTGACGCTGACGAGGTGGAAGCGCCCTCGATCAAGGCCGCGGTTTGTGAACAGCGCATTAATTTCATCTTCCCGCACGTTGGGAGGCAGATTTGCAATACGCAAGGTGCAACACTCGAATCCGGTGATTAGGTGAGATATTTCAAGGCCTGCGCTGAAGGTTACGATGGACCCAAGGACAACGTTCTGGACCGTCTTCGCGGCAGCTTCTTTGGCAATCTCGGCTGCACGAGCGCTGGTCTCAGCCGCACGAACTCTGGCAATCTCGGCTGCACGAGCTTTAGCCTCAGCTGCACGAGCTTTGGCAATCTCGGCTGCACGAGCTTTGGCAATCTCGGCTGCACGAGCTTGAGCCTCAGCTGCACGAACTTTGGCAATCTCGGCTGCACGAGCCTTAGCCTCAGCTGCACGAACTCTGGCAATCTCGGCTGCACGAGCTTTGGCCTCAGCTGCACGAACTCTAGCAGTCTCGGCTGCATGAGCTCTGGCAATCTCAGCTGCACGAGCCTCCATGGCTAACTTTTCTTCTGTTTCAATTTGTTGGGGAACAACATCTTCAAGATGCTCCTGGTGGTCGCCAAGCTAAATGCAGGGAAGAAAGGCACCCGAAAGATTCACGTACTTCAATACCATGCAGAAACCGGCATTTAGTGCCTCTTGCGCACATCCCGGCCTTCCAAGCGCGACACACCTCGCCACCCTTGGAACTTCGGGATGGCCCAACGGACGTATGAGCGGAATTCTCCGAGGCAGGCCTTTGAGACATGGTGCGCTGCACCTGTGACTGAGGCGCCCTAGGCTGACGGTTCTGTTGGCCATTATGCTGGCGACGACCCTTATGGTTGGGTGGACGGTTGACAGTAGTACGACTCAATTCAGCATGTTCAACATGCTGAGTGTGTGCTGATGCGTCACCCTATAATGACAAGCTTCAGTACATAACCGAGACTATGAATTTCTGAACGAAAACTTGCCTGGATTTCGTGGCTAAACTTGCACTTCGCCCCATAAGGACAATGACCTTGGAGATGATACTGGCACGACATGGTAGGAAGGAAACAAGTCCTGAATTCGAGTGCCGCACACCTCGTGTGCACAGCAAGTCTGGCATCAGTCCAAATTGTTCCAAACAGAATATTATGGAAGCACAACAAAGTGGGCGCTTCGATGGTGGCGGTAGCGCCGTCCAGTACATTCTATAAATAAACGCGCATATCCTAACCAGGACAGCTCATTAATATTTGTGCTGCCTCTGTTCAAAGATATGAAGTGGTATCTGTGGGGAACTCTGATTACTGTTGTTCAAACTTCTCTTAAAGCTGCCTCTAACACTGCAACACCGAAGAGCCCAAGTCAAGCTACAAACGATCGAAAAACAAACGGAGGGGACACGTACAACTTGTCGTCTCAACTGTCACTGGCAAGAGCATCAGGTCATCAAGCACTAGTACGTGCTCCCTAGCTCTCCGTATCTCCTGCTTCTTTCACGGATGTCATGCTTCTTTTGCCACTTTTGCTAGATACTCAACCTGTGTATGGCGTCGTCACTGACAAATCACTACTAGTCAAGTGTATGACGCACTCTTTGACACTCCCGGTTCATTTGTTGTAATGCATTGACTCGCTGTCCAGGCGTTGCAGTACTCAGCGAACGACTTGCAAGTGGGAAAACTTTTTAATAAACCATACATCGAATACCGTGTTTCGTCATGGTCACCTGGAACGACACAAGCTCTGAACACATCAAAATCAATAAGTTGGTCGTTGCTGTCAAACTTAGGTCATAGCGATACAGTTACATGTTAGTCTTAATGATTCAAGCGGAGTTTTAATGACAGCTACTCATACGACCCTTTTGGAATGTATGAATATCAATAATGGTTAACCTTGAAAGAAATTCACTGTGAATTCGGATTAGTGTTGTTGGCAGTTAATGCTGCCATTAGTGTTGTTGGCAGAATGCTGCCATTCTGCCAGTGGCAATTGCCAAGCGGCAATTGCCGGCAGTAGGTCAAGGGTGGTTGGCAGAAGTCGGCAGAAATACGCTGAACTAGTATTTGTTCCTACTAAAAAACAATAAAAATATGACATGTGGCCTAGAAGCCCAAGGGCCATTCTGTCCAAAAAATTGTGTCCAACCACTTTGTTAGTAGTTACTGGGGAGAAAGTCAAAATTTGGTCAAAAACAACTCAAATCACTACTTTTTCACATGCAACTGCTGCTCGGCACAACAGCATCCATCTAATTGACTGAAAAATATGATCATCGGGCATGCTCGTGCCTAGTGTGGCTCACTACAAAAAATGCAATCAAGGCTGAATTCTATCAATTCTATCCCCGGATCTATTGCTTCTGCAACTTCCAAGTCGACTCAAAGGTCGTTTGCATGGATTCCTCCCCTTGCAGCAGACTCTGATCACCAGGATTGACCAACTGTCAGAAAATGATGGGGCAGAAGGTATCCACAGTGCCAACTGGCTTTGTTGAAGAGATCAATGTACTCAATCAAAGCTCAGAGAGTGCATCAGAGTATGATATTGATGCACTTTTGACTCATGAGTATAGCTTAGTGTAGTACTCAAAACCATTTTTGCCATAGTACAAACATAGTTGAAAAGAGCTAAAAACGCTCACAATACATTTTGCCGACTTTTGCCATTCTGCCATTCTGCCATCTGCCAAGAGGCCAATTCCTTTCTGCCCACGACACCCTCTTGGCAGATGGCAGAACGGCAGAATGGCAATTGGCAGAATGGCAAAAGTCGGCAAAATGTATTGTGAGCGTTTTTAGCTCTTTTCAACTATGTTTGTACTATGGCAAAAATGGTTTTGAGTACTACACTAAGCTATACTCATGAGTCAAAAGTGCATCAATATCATACTCTGATGCACTCTCTGAGCTTTGATTGAGTACATTGATCTCTTCAACAAAGCCAGTTGGCACTGTGGATACCTTCTGCCCCATCATTTTCTGACAGTTGGTCAATCCTGGTGATCAGAGTCTGCTGCAAGGGGAGGAATCCATGCAAACGACCTTTGAGTCGACTTGGAAGTTGCAGAAGCAATAGATCCGGGGATAGAATTGATAGAATTCAGCCTTGATTGCATTTTTTGTAGTGAGCCACACTAGGCACGAGCATGCCCGATGATCATATTTTTCAGTCAATTAGATGGATGCTGTTGTGCCGAGCAGCAGTTGCATGTGAAAAAGTAGTGATTTGAGTTGTTTTTGACCAAATTTTGACTTTCTCCCCAGTAACTACTAACAAAGTGGTTGGACACAATTTTTTGGACAGAATGGCCCTTGGGCTTCTAGGCCACATGTCATATTTTTATTGTTTTTTAGTAGGAACAAATACTAGTTCAGCGTATTTCTGCCGACTTCTGCCAACCACCCTTGACCTACTGCCGGCAATTGCCGCTTGGCAATTGCCACTGGCAGAATGGCAGCATTCTGCCAACAACACTACGAGTCATACCGTGCCGCCACACAGCGCCTGCTGCCTGAAGTGTCCCCCGCCCAAAGGAGAATGCTAATTTCGGGCTTGTCCCAAAATATTGGGCAATGTCAACATCCCCTTCCTTCAAATTCCCTGTCTCTTTCCTCACACCGATCTACTCGCTCCAGCCGGCTCGATGTGCCACCGCATGGCGGTAAATATGGACTCGACATCCATGGTGCGTGCTCAGCGTGTGACAATGGCGGGCAGCAGGTGGTGGTGGTGACGGTGCCGTGGCGGGATGTCGGGCGCTGTCAGCCATTGGCGACTTCAGACTCGGGCATCCGTGCCGAGCGTGCACCTAGCAGATACAGACCCAGGTGCCATGCAGGCCTTCACCCAGACCGGCTATTTTCAAACTCATCCTCGGATAGATATGATAAGTAGCCGCCCTGCAGAGTACTGATCATGAACGACTGCAGATCTTGCTACTCCAACTCGAATCACTCATCGTCACGAATTCAGGAGATTAGGAAGGCCGACCATTGCTCGTATCTTGAAATTGGATGCTAGGCAAGGAGAGACAATATCATGATTGGCATTGATTGCTACAAGAATACAATTACTAACTGAAGGTCGTCTTTCAAGTCCAGTATGTAGATCTTTTGTGCAAATAGTACTCACCGTCACGGTGATCAATCAATATATTGGGAGTCAAACTTGATTCACGCAAGGTTCATACCTCAATCCTGACTCCAATTTTCGAAATCTGAATTGACCGCGAATCGATCGTAAGTTTGAATGCCCCCCTCAGATCCTTGAACGGTTCTCATCCATAGCTCTTGATACGTGACGTGTAGATCAGCAATGTGCCCAAGGCCTGCTACGAGACATTTTGCGAAACAGGAAGATCTGCCAGTATTTAGCATAACGTCGACATCTTCGCAGCAAAATAATGATTTTGCATTCAATTCAACAGGTCTGCCAGCGACGCAGAATCTGAATATTCCTATCCCTTGTCACCTACTACCATTATTACTGATCAGTCTGATTCTACCTTACAGGCATCTGAGTCTGATGAATCCTCGAGTTCCTACTTTTTGAATGTACTACATTCTCGGATCAGAAGTACATTGACAGTTCTGCAGATTGGGTGGTTCCAGTATTGCCATCGTCTTTTCTTGTGCTGTCTTCGCGACCTTTCAATTCCCTCTTACTAGTATCAGATTCGGCGGTTGTCGAGTTCTTTAGCGGTGACTCGCAGTATAGAAGCTCGATATGACTGCTCAGCGGTTGCGACCAATCGGCAATTGCGGGAAAGGTTCGGCGTTGGCAACAAGTCACATAAAATAGAGCTACGTGGCTCACTGTGCTACTTAGATTCAGTCGAGGTATCCTCGATGTCGCTCTCATCAGGCCCTCCCAAGTTTCGAGTAGCAATCTGGTAAGTCGGACAACCGCCGCATGGCATTACGGCTGCTGGGGCTGGGATTGCAGTCGCGCGATGCACGGCGGAGGTCATGGTGGAACTCGGCTTGTATGAAAAATCTCTCATATTTCAGAAACGCCCCCTTCCTCCAGCTACGGTCTGTTTCGAGAACTTGTGTTGCGACTGCGTTTAACTTGATTCGTTTCGATAGGTCGGAGATTGAGGAAGTCTGATGCCCCAAATGGTGGTTTCGGGTGGTTTCATTATACCTCCAAAACGGGTCTGTGAACTTCATCATTTTGAACTGGGGGCAGAAAAGTGACAAAGCCTCTCGCAGTTAAACAGGGATTTAATATGCATCGGCAGGAACTCGTCGACATTCTCAAGCAATGCATTCCGTCATCATGCACTATCCATTTTGACAAACGACTTACAAAATATGAAAAGCAGTCACCAGGATCACTCGCCGTCTACTTCGCTGATGACAGCACCTCGACCACCGACGTATTAGTAGGGGCAGACGGTATCCACTCCCCAGTGCGGAAGATATCATAGACCCAAGTAAGATAAGGCACTACAGTGATCCATCTTGGACCGGAACGCTTGTCTATCGCAGCATCTTTCCAGCGGAGAAGCTTTCAAAATTGGATCCAAACAATTAGTTTTGAAGGATTTCATGATAGTCAGTCCTCAGAAAGTGGTCACGATTGTCAGGAATAACCTTTAGTTCGCAGTTTTGCGGGAAGGGAAAGGTGATTTTTCACAATCGACTAGTCCCTGTTCACTCATGAATATTTCAAAGTACATCATCTTGTATCCTGTTTCGCAAGGAACGCAGATCAATGTCACAGCATATGTTTCTGATGAGCAGAAAACCGGCATACCTTTTGAGGGCC